TCTTCAGCATCGAGAATGTGTGGCTTCTGTGGGTTCCGTTGTGTCCATTCTAATCTGTTTAGCCTCCAGGATTCGGTTTGATCGTAGATATATTTTGGACGGTTGTTTGATTTGAAACAATGACGTCTCTTCAGAGTTCAAGGCGAAAAGTGGTTGACACAAGCATTCCCTGTTGCCCGTCCGCACCAAACTGACAAATTCAGGAAAACGGAGTTTCTTCTAGTCTTTATGATCTGGTTACAAACTGATCAGTGAATGCAAAGGGACGGAATACGTGTTCGGTCTAAGATATTCCTAGGGTTACATCGAATATTTCTCGGGAACGGTTTATTGCACGAGCCTCAGCGAGTTCTGTTGATTGAACAGGATGGTGAATATTAAGGTTAAATCCTGTGACTAAAAGAGTTTCTCCAGTCTTTGGCTTTGATGGTATGCGATCTGGCACAGATCATGAGCTTTTGTCCTTTATTGTTTTGTAGACCAAAATTGGAACGTAGTCCTGCTTTCTGGTAATCTGACCTACGGATAATCCTCATACAATTTTTACCGCAACTTACATATGAATTGATATACACGGTGGAATTGGCCCCGTTAGATTTCTCTCTTTTAACTGAACGGAAGTTAAAGTTTGGGACCTGAAACTCCGCAGCATCATGCTTCATATTCTCCGTTGAAACTAGATCTCTAGTTGTAATACGCTATCATAAGGTTTGCTGGAAATTCTTAGACAGCCCACGACCGGTTTTGCCCTTATTTGGGCTCAGGAGATAGGCGCAGTCCCCGAGTTTCCGTCAACCTTATGATCTACTTGAACCCAACTTGCACGGAATCAGCGAATTTACACTCATTTTGACACCAATTCGGTTTTGCGGGAGACTCACCTGGAACGCAGCTGAATCTCTCGTTTATGATGTTTTCATGCAAACTTATGAGTAGTGTAGTACGTGTATACATGTATCACGATATCTCGAATACCGTAGCAACTGGAACATGGGGCGGCCCGGTTGTTTGAAAACATCGCAAATAAGAGATTCAGCTGTATTCCAGGCCAGTCTTCCGCAAAACGAAATTAATTTGCGAATAAGTGTATTTCGCTAGATGTTAATTTGTTCAAAGCGGAGTTCTAAGAGCAGATTTCTTCCGATACACTGTGACAATTAAGCGGTCTTATTCCCTACTGTGGCGTTCGAAAGATTTTTCTGAATAGCTATTGTTCCCAAGCTATTTGTAAACAGCCCTGAGTAGGTTTAAATCAAATCGGATACACAGATCCGGCGTGCTACTGAGACCGTAGTTTTGACGGCGTTGCTTTTTCGCTTCAGAGGGTCAGGCCATGTGTGTCTGCGTTTAACGGATTTGTTGGGTTTACGCGTGAAGAGTGGATGTTCCCACCTGTCGGGTAGTCATCAGTCCACACAAGGTTAAGAATTCGGACAGGATTCATGGCTGGTGCCTTATAACTAGAAAAGCACAGCGTCTAAAATATGCTAGCTATGACATAAGATTATTCAGCCATCCCTCAACCATAGTAGAATGCATTTTTGACCGCACTTGTTGGTGTTGCAGCCAACCACACTTGTAACTGTTATAAACGAAGTTGCGGCAATGTATTTCAGAAGAGGAACGTAGACGGTTGTGAACACGTCGAAATTGCGCATTTGGATCTTGATGTTTACTTCAAGGCTCCGGCTGATATCGATTCATTCACGTGGAGAAAACGCGCACAAATGAGAGCGACGACACTCACCTATTCAGCTCTGAGTGCACTTTAGAGCTACGGAGAAATATGAATATTGGACAGCAATGTTTGTTTAGAAACCACGTTTCCATAGCCACTCAGAGTTTTGTTCAGGACGAGTCAGTCCAAAACGAACCACCCTGTTGTGGATCGCCCCCACAGGCAACTTGTGTAGAGTAGATTTCACTGAGGTATAAAGAAGCTACTTGGCTGGTACCCGGAAGTAGTTGGAAAAATTAAGAAAAAAGCCAACTGTGCGGCGTGCTTATATTGAGATGGGGTCATTTCCTTACTATAGTAGGTATTCAAGTAATGATCGGAATACCTAGAATACGGACTGTATAAACAGGTGGATAGCTGGTTGATTTTATCACGTAACAGTTTTACGATGCAATTTCTGAGCGGCGTGCTGAAATTTTATCTTGCTGGGCAATCCACTTACCCCAGTTCACTACCTGTCATTGACGAATGTGGTCGGAAATCGCCCTGTTTATGAGGCGGGTTGTACAACAAACTTCCCAGTTCATATTCCCCCGACATCAGAACCAAATAAAAAGTACTTTCTTTCCGCATCTAGCCGCAATGCACTCCGAAGTGAGAATGAGGACTTAGCTACTGTTGACTAGTTGTAGACAGGTTTTATCGGTTAGCCAGGGCTTCGTTCTTCGACCACACCTGAAAAATCAAGCGTTTTTTGTTGTCTGGCAGCTTATCCACCAATTTTCCCTCGTAACGACGGACTTCGTCATGAACTTCGTTTTATTGGCTGGCTTCATTTCGAGTAGCGCACTATGCTCATTCGAATATTGAAAGTGACAAGTTTTGACTGGTTTAACCGTGCAGGTTATCTGTCTTAATTAGCAATGTTGATGACAAAACACGAGGTGGGTTGTCACACTGTATTCCAGTCAATCTTTACTTCTTTTCATAAAGAAAACTACTCACAAGGCTGCTGAATACTCTTCGACAGCCCAGGACCGGTTTCGTTCCTGTTGGGGCTCATCAGGTGGGCGCAGTCCCCGAATTCCTGTCAACCTTATGTCCCACTTGAACCCAAACTTGACTGATTGCGACAAATACGCTCATTTGAAAATCAGTCGAATATTGTGCTAACTAAGGCAGGCGGTCTGTGTGCAGGTCATTCAGTTGAAGAATATCGCAAACGAGCGATTCAGTTGAGTCTCTCGTGAGAACCAAATTGATTTGCAAATGAGTGTATTTCTCGAAAACCGTCCAATTTGGGTTCAAGCAGATCATAAGGTTGACGGAAACTCGGGGACTGCGTCTACCTGATGAGCCCCAAGCGGAAGGGCGAAACCGGTCGTGGGCTGTCGAAGAGTTTTCAGCAACCTTGTGAGTAGTTTGCTTTATGAAAATATACTGCGATATCTCGAATATCGTACCAACTGAATCATGAGGCGGCCTGTGTGCAGCACATTCAGTCG